AGAAACAAACAAGCCCAAAGGACCATCTCCCCAGAGTTGTGCACAGAGGATGGTTGGGGCAGCCAGGTGCAGAGGGCGGGGACTACAGAGAGCACAATACCAGCTTCCCAAATGACCCATTCCCGAGGGCCCAGGCCACGAGGGGAAACGGCACAGAGCTCTGGAAATCAGCTCTAGGGACTCAAGCCACGTGCTAGCTGCACCTTTGTCTGACTGTGCATGATACTTGCTTCTCCCTGGAAGAGAACAGTCATGCCTCACAAGCATCCTGTGAACACTGAACGGAATGATATTTGCAAACATTCTTTGAAAATCAGTAGCATGTTCTAAACTTCAGATGGCCATGTTGTAACTGCTTTCTGGTTTTTGTTACCTGCCTGGCTACTGGAGCCATCAGAGATCATGATCCCTACAGAAAACTATAAAGTGGCCTGCATAGAAAGTATTATTCTTATTCCTATTATCCCATAGCCAGCTAGCTAGCTGTTCTTCAGTGTGATCAACTAGACAACTTCAATTGATTCCTTTCTCTTCTCTGAACAACTCCTATAGGACCTAGGAGTTTATCAATCATTTTAAGGACATGATCATGTACTGTGCTCCAGGAAAGGATAAACTACTTCCAGGAGCCAGAAGGAGACACTTCAAGGAGACACCAACTGTCTCCCTCAAGAACGTCCATGGTGCAGACACACAGGAGCCCTCCATGGGGGTCGCAAGTACATGGACAACACTGTTGTCAGGAAGGACCTCCTCAACAGGAGTCAAGGTTCTTACCTGACAGCAGCTGTATCAGAAGCCATTTATTTCTAACAGCAAACTATCAAAATCTGAATAATCCATTGTTTGCGGGTATTTTTGTAATCAGGTAGTTTCAGTGTTACCTCTTTCATGAAGTCATTTTTGCCTATGTGTAATAATAGCCCAGGAGAGAAAGGAGCAGAGTAAAAGCAGAGCTCTGGGAAGCAGGCATAATGAGCAGCCCCTAGCTGCAACAGCCCACAGTGAGAAATCGTTACACACATGCCCTTGCACCTGTACCCATCAGAAGTTAGCACTGTGCTTTGCCCCACCATGGAAGTCTCGCTCTTGTATTTCCGACCATGAAATGGAGGTGATGGTCAATGCTTTTACACTTTTAAATCTGGGGCCCTTGCCCCTGATAGTGTGCAACTCTCTGTTCATTGATGAGTAGAGCCTGCATTCTCCTGCCAACACTAGGGGCCATGCTGTGTCCAGGTCACAGGCAATTCTCCCATGTGTGCTGTGTCCAGGTCACAGGCACTTCACAGCTCACCAAGTCACCGTCCATATCCACCATTCATTCAATTCTATGGCAGCTGCGCCGAGTTAGATATTTAATCCTCATTACACAGCCAGGGCAACTAGATACTGGACCAAGGGTGATCCTGTCCCACCCTGATATCTAAGTTTTGTGATCTCTTTATTAAGAGACTTTTAAAGACATTTTAGCAACAGGGACAGCAGAGTAGGCAGATGAGGGAGTGTTCAATGCCTCTTCAAAAAAGCCATGTGTAATGGATGGCGCTGGAAGGGATCATGCTCAGCAAAATAAGTCAGAAAGAAAAAGAAAAATACTGGATGGTCTCACTCATAGCAGGAATCTAGAAAACTTAAATAAGAGACCAGGAAAAAGAATAACGATAAGAAAGTAAAAATCAGAATCAACGAACAACTATGAACCAGAGACACTCTATGGGGGGTGGGGGGCGGGGGAAGAAGGGATTGGGGTCAAAATAAGGGGGTTGCAATTGTATGGGGAATATAAAAATAAAATTTAAATTTAAAAATAAATAAAAAGAACTTAAAAAAAAAAGCCATGTGTAATCCTTCTCAACAGGTTGCCAACTGCCTCTTTTTATTTAGCTTATGGCCCCCAAACTGTTTCTTGCTCCCAGACCAATGGACTCAGAATGACTCCACACCGAGCTCTACTCCCCATCTGTCAGCCAGTCACCCGAATGCCTGCCCACTGTACCTTTTGTGTTGTTCCCTCCCCCTGCAGCTTTCATTTCTGCAAAATCCTCCAGCCAGTCATTTCATCCACACGTCCAGGTGAGGGAATCCAGTGAGCCTGCTCCAAACCAGGATCCAAAACTGCCCTCTTCCCAACCACTTTTCAATTACACGCTCTTCCACTCCTCACCCAGTTAAGAGTCTCTATCCCTCTACCCCAGGGCAAGGGAACCAATCAGCCAGTCCAAACTGACCTCAATAAGAAATAGAGCCAGACTCAGCCCCAGGCTTCAGGTATCTTTAGAGGTCTAGAATTTCTTTCAGACCAAACTGTCTGTGAAGCCTCTCCCACATTACCTGATGAAAACTTATTTAAATATAGATACTTACTAATGGATCCTCTACTAAATCCTCCTGTACCCTTTAAACATAATCAAATAATTTTGTTAGGCCACACAAGTTAGAGGTGTGCAAACAATAGTTCAGTTGCACCAAAATTACCTGGAAAGCTTTTTGTGAAGTAACAATGACAGACAACCACAACAAAGACAGCGGAGTTCCCCTGCCCTGCAAAATTTATTCCACTGGTCTGGAAAGGGACCAAAGACTATGCATTCTGAAGTTTCCCAGGGATTTTTATACACAAATTAGGGCATCACTGCTCCAGGGAGCCCCCTTGTAACCATAGGCTCTCTATCATCTCTGACTTGCCAATTTTATTGCTGCTGCATGCATTGGGATTATTAGCCATAGCTTAGGATGGACCATTCCATTCCTTTACCTTTGTCTCTAGGAGTATTTGAATGCTTTATATATTGCAAAATGTCATTCTTTTTTGATTCAGAGAATCAAATGATGTAACGATATGGTAGCATCCATCATATACTATGTCTCAGTCACTTAATCCTCACAACCACCCCCTGGGAAAATAGGTTTACTCTTATCGCCGGCCTGACAAGATGAGGAAACTAAGGCACAGAGAGGTTAAGGAACCCGCCCCCAAGGTGTTGCGGTGAACATCTGAGCTGGTATTCAAAGGCCAGCAGTCTTTCAACCTAAGCCTTTCAAGCCCATGTTTTCACCCTTTCTGCTCCACTGTCTTTCAGAGCCAGCATGAGCATGATTCTCACTTTAAAGGGTTCACCAAAATACAGGGGATAATTTCTCAAGGGGAAGTGCATCCTTGCCACGTGTCAGCTCAGGCTTCCCAGAAAACTCTAGATGCAAAACCAGAATCCAGAGCCGTTTCATTACGTGTAGGTCAATGCTGCCTTCATGGCTCTGGAGTCTTCCTGCAGGGCACACAGCATGTGATAGCATAGGGCCACTCAGCTGCACACCTCACCCTCCAGGAAGGGCAGCTGGGTTAGGCAGCAACAAAGGGCTTGAAAAAGCTGCACCAGCAACATATTCAGCTGAGAACACTAGAAATGGAAGGGATGGTGGAGACCAGCCCATTAAGAAATAAAACAGAATCTATCTCCCATGCCAGCTCTGATCAACCTTAGGGGCTACATGGTTTAGCAATGGAGAAAAATGAGGAAAGAGAAGCAGAGGGCATCATGATCACTAACTGATGGAGGAGAGGGGAGCTGCCTAAAGTCATAGACCCACTTCATGACAGTAAGACCCAGAACTAAGCCTGGGTTCCTGCACGAGGGTTGAAGCATCATCCACCTAAATATAACTTCTAGGTTGGGGAACTTCTGCTTCCACAAACACCAAAGTCATCAGCTCTGACCACAAAACAGCTTCCCATCTAGTGAATGAGACATGTACGCTGACACCCAATTCTCATTCCAGAAAGGGTCTGCCACAACAGGGACGAGACAGTACAATTCAAGTGTGTGAAACCTTCGTGAGTCAGATGGAGTAAGGGGTGGTAGCATACATCACATATATGAGCTTTCAGACGTGCGGGGTAGGAAGTCAGGGTTAGAAGGACAGGTCTTTGTTCTCAGGAGATACAGGTTAAAATCCAGCGCTTCCACTACTAAGCTGTAGGAGACTAAAAAAGATTACTTCCATGAGCCGGTCCCCTCATATCTAAAATGGGGGTGGAATACTTTTAGCAGGGGTCATTGAAGGATTAAATGAATGTGGAAAGTGCCCTCCACAACACTGAGAAGACACTAAGTTGGTTGCTACTGCTATCACCATCATCATCACTACCAACATACTCCTGCAGGAGTCAGGAAGCCAGTAATTGGCTACAACAGGTATTCTGAGGGATAACAGGTTTGCAAGGCTTTTTTGCCCTCCTCAAATCATTTGAGCTATTTAGATTTCTCAGATTTCTAGAATCCCAAAATTTTTATAATTCAGGAGTTTATTTTTAACCAGTCTCCTGCCTCCTCCCTTGCTACTAAGCCAGTACTTAACTAGGGGGCACACTTTAGGAAGGAACATATCTAGGTAAACTGGATTGACTCACAGAGGTGGATGTAGATGAAAGGAGCCTATCGTATATTAGAATGTAACATCTTGATTTAAAATTAAAAAGCTTAACAAAGGGCAGGAGGCAAAGCTTGAGAAGACTGTGCTGATGGGATACACGGAGAAGTGGCACAACCCTCTTCGCACATCAATGATTCTCCGGAGATAGGGTGGGGCAGTGAGCATGCATGCAGCCCTGGAAAGCAGTATGGGAATCTTGGACGTGGGGCTCGGTTTCATATTCATGACAGGAGGGCATGACTTGAACAGGGGACAGGAAAATGCTATGCCACACGGGAGCACACACAGCACAGTGACTCTCACGCCATGCATGGCGGTGTTAACAGACACACTCCCGCCGCTAGCACTGCCAATAAAGGAAAGACTCAACAGACTAAAAGAGTTGGGGGGCTGTGGCAGGGGCTAGGCATAAAGGGCT